GAGAGGAGAGGTGAGAAAAATAGTAAATAATTTTCAGCTAACTACAATAATAATAAAGAAATGTTGATGGACAATATTTAATGATATATATACAGGTGTGTTGTACTGGTAAAAGTAAAATGGACAGAATTTATATATTTGACTATTACTACACCACAATTTTCATTTAATTAGGGTTTTAAGGACACAACCACCTACTGGCATTTTTTCCCCCCCGCAGTCTCAGTGAATCTGCCATAACTTTACATCTTTATGCCATATTCTAAAAGAAAGTCGATTAAAAGGATATCTAACATTCCCTCTCCTTTCCCCCCCCCCACAGACTCACAAATTAACACTTCTGTCCATTTTACTTTTACCAGTACAACACACCTGTATATATATCATTAAATATTGTCCATCAACATTTCTTTATTATTATTGTAGTTAGCTGAAAATTATTTACTATTTTTCTCACCTCTCCTCTCCACAAGCCCAAGAGCAATTTACCTTTATAGCCATCTCTTAAACAGAAATTTATTCATAAGTGTTAGCAAAGATAACCATTTAAAATCTAAGACAATCAAAACCGCTTTTATTAAACGGATGTGAATTCCTCTCCTTCCCATTCCGTAAGGTCTGGCAAACAGTCTTTCCAAGGAATATTTATGATACAGAGTTTCCTGCTTGAGAAGGGGGTTGGACTAGAAGACCTCCAAGGTTCCCTTTCAACTCTGTTGTTCTATTATTAATGCGCTGCATAAACCCAACCTATTTTGGTGGCAAAAAAAATATTTCTCCTTTTATGGTTGTCTCATCTTGGCCGCATCTCACGGTTTCGTCAGATACTGGGACGATCACGAGTGCCACTTGTTAGATTAGATTTACATTTTTTCCCCTTTCTGATCTTCTGCTCTTGATGATTCGTCGAGATGGTGAAAGAGGGCGAAAAGCAGTTTCCTTCAAACCGTTTCCCCCACGTGGCGTTCCTTGCTCATCCTCTCCCTCCGAAAACTATCTGACGGGGTCATCTTCTTAAAGCCGTCCCTGATACAGCAGACAAGGCCCAAAGTAAACTTTGTGAGGCTTATGCAATTTTCCAAAAAGGAGAAATTGCAACTGGGACTTTTCTAAATTTCTTCACCTGCTTTTTGAAAAGGCGATTCCAGGAAGCTCCATGCAAGTTCACACCAAGCCCTGTGTCCCTCCTTGACTTACACAATTGAGCCCAAAACCTCTGTTGCTAAACAAGAGAAGTTTCCCCTTCCCCTATATAAAGTTATGATATAACTTTTCTTGCCTCAGCTGTGGAGCGAATCACTGCAGTTGTTAAATTAGTGACACGGTTGTTAAAAGGAACTTGGCTTCCCCATTGACTTGGCTTGTCTGAAGGTCACGATTAGGACATCACCCTGGGACCCTGCAGCCGTCGTAAGTGCATGCCAGTTGCCAAGCCTCTGAATTTTGATGCTCCTTCAGCGGGTCACAAGCGTGAGAAATTTGTAGAAGGCGCTTTTTTCAATGCTGTTGTAAAGTCGAAGAGTCACTAAATGAATTGCAACACAGTTGTTAAGTGAAGCTGGCTTGTCCGTTGGCTTTCCTGGTCAGAAGGTCACAAAAAGGGATCGTGTGAAACCCCCCCCCCCAGGACACTGCAACCGTCATAAATATGAGCCGGTTGCTAAGCGTCTGAATTTTGATCATGTGACTGTGGGAGGGCTCTAAGGGTTGGAAATGTGAAAAAACAGTCATAAATCACTCTCTTCAGTGCCGTCGGACCTTCAAACCGTCACTAAATGAACTGTTGTAAGTTGAGGATCACCCAATATCTTTAGTAGCATATTAAATATAAAGCAACTCTTAAATACAGAGCAACGATATTAAATATAAATCAACTATTGCCAATAGCAAGATTTCTGTCTGGCATTGTCTTCCCATTGTCTTCCCATTGTCTTCGCATTTCCATTGTCGTTGGGTTATCCAAGCATGAAGGAACTATTTGGAAGTAGCTTCTGTCGTTCTTGGTTCTTTGGACCTGATAACCAGCTCGATTTTGGAGCAGTTACATGGTGGATGGGATGAGGGGCAGAAAATTGGCATCCTATGGATATCATCTTCTCGGCCAAAATAACGTCTCCGTTGGTTTTCCTCTTGTCTTCAAGAAACACAAGCGTCCGGGCCAGTGCTGTGCCCGTCTGTGCATTTTTGAGTCTTCAGTGTCCCCAAATTTCATCTCTCTTCGTCTTTTCTCTTCTAGACGTTCACAGCATGGTGCAATTCCCACCTTCGGAAAGCCGGCACGCAGATCGAGAACATCGACGAAGACTTCCGGGATGGTCTCAAACTAATGTTGTTGTTGGAGGTCATTTCAGGTGAGGCTCCGAATGGCCGATGTGTTGTGAGGCCACAGAAGACTTCTCGGGTCTCTTAAGAGCTCCTTCTCTTGGTAGCTTAGCAATAGCAGTTAGACTTATATACCGCTTCATAGGGCTTTCAGCCCTCTCTAAGGGGTTTACAGAGTCAGCATATCGCCCCCCACAGTCTGGGTCCTCATTTCACCCACCTCCGACGGATGGA